GACACTCTTCGAAAATTCAGCTGCAAAATAAATAAGGTGGTTTTTCTGCCTAGCAAGACTCTGCATGTGCATTTATTCATTCACAGTTGTTTCCAGTCACTTCCCTATAGTACAGTACTCCGTGCAACCTGCAAAACAACCATGAAAACAAAACCAGGGCCAGTAAGTATAATGCATGTGTTTCTGCAAATGACCCAGCTTTTGACATGCAAATATGAAATCTAGTAATCAGACTGCCCAGTAAGAAATATCTCTCTAAAGACAGATCACAGAAATTTAGGTAACCATCACCATTCACTGTATCTAAGTTTCAAGACATTCACAAAATCAATTTGAGATTGTTATCATTTGCTGCATTTCGGACATTGACTACAAAATATGCACATTAATATTTATTTATTAGATTTCTATTCCACCCTTTCCTGAAGGCTCAGGGTGGATTACGACAATAAAACAACAACTGCATAGAAAAAATACAAAATATATACGATAATAAAAACACATACTGGCCATACATAAATAATCAATGAAATGTAGAGAGGTGAATGGGTGGATGAGTTCCAGGAGGGCCAATGGAACAAGATCAGAAGAAGGCCTCCCTGAACAAGACAGACTATGCAATAATATTAATGATCCAGGGATACCCATATGTAAAAATACAGGCTGTACATAACTAGTGCCGTGTGCAGCCAGTTGACAGAACTGTGCACTGACATCCAGATCCAGAACTGAACAACCATTTGTGGCCAACAGCAGACCCAGAGCTATTTTTGGGCAGGAACGCACAGGAACGGAGTTCCGGCTGGCTCCCAAATTGGCCACACCCAGCAGGAACTTATTAGCATAACAGGCCACACCCAACAGCAGAAACTCATTAGGATTGGCTAAAATTAGGGGTGTGTGGCCTAACATGCAAAGGAGTTCCTGCTACAAAAAAAGCCCTGGGTCTTGACAATAAACAAGGTAAAGAGAATAACAAGCAAAAGGTGGGTGCGGCTGGATGACCACACTTTTGGTAACATGGTGGTGTGGCTTAAAATGCTAATGAGCAGTGCAGTCAGGGGTGTGGCCTAATATGCTAATGAGTTTCTGTTGCTGGGTGTGGCCTATTATGCTACTGAGTTCCTGCTGGACTTTTTCTACAGAAAAAGCCCTGAGCAGACCTAAATAAGAACCTGTCGTCCCGTCAACATTGGCTCCTTGTTAGCCTAAATGCAGTGGCAACCCATAACAGTTTACAGGTCAATTTCGGGACTGGCTCTTTTTCCAACAAGATCTAGGGTAAGACATGCATCTGGAACTGCTGTTCTGCACAAGTAAAGCCCAATGGTATGCGTTACCCAAAACACAGATCAGCACTAGTGTGTTTATAACATAAGCTGTAGTCCTCACTGTGAACAGTAGTATCCAACTAGAAAAAGTAGAGAAGAGATAACGTTTGACCTCACTTCACCTCTTCCACTGCAGTCCTCCCACCAACACTGTCCCCAGGGTTCAGGGAACCCCAGGAGCAATGCTGAGCACAGTGTGAGGAAGTCTGTTGTGGGAGCAGGAAAATCAGCAACCACTCACCACCGCATCGGTGGAAATAGAAGAAGAGTTGGTTTCTATAACCCACTTTTCTCTACCCTTAGGAGTCTCAGAGCAGCTTACAGTTTCCTTCCCTTCCTCTCCCCACATCAGTCACCTTGTGGGGTAGGTGGACCTGAGAGAGTTCTAAGAGAACTGTGACTGGCCCAAGGTCACCCAGCATGCTGCACGTGAAGAAGGAGTGGGGAATCAAACCTGGTTATCCAGATTAGAATCTACTGCTCTTAATGATTACACCACGCTGGCTCTTCTGCTGGCAAAACAAAAACACAACCAAAAACAACCACTGGATATATAGGCTTGGAGCCTATTACAGTTTCCCTCGCTGTTCTCTGCACCCTCAGGCAAGACATTCTTCCGCCGCAGTGCTCACTTCTGCCACAGTGCTCACTTCCTCTTCACTGGCACTTCCACATACACAAGGGTGCCTTGAAAAACATCGATCTTGCTCATACAGAAGTGCTAGGGGCAAAGGAAACAAGTGCCATGGTGGAGGAAAACCTCCATGGTGACTGTAGAGAAGCACAAGGGGGAACAACATCTCTGTATCCAAGGCCAAACATTTAAATAAATAAATAAAACACTGACATAACTCAGAGTTGCCCCAGCGAAACTGAATTTAGGATGGACCAAAGAAAGTACTTCTCCACACAACACATAGCTAACTTACTGCATTCTCTTCCACAAGATTAATGAGGGAGGGAAGCTTAGATAGCTTTGAAAACAAGGGATTAGACAAATTCAGCAGGAGTAGATTTATCAACAGCTCTATGCCACAATAGCTACATTGAAACTTCATGTCCCAAGGTAGTCCACCACAGAATTCCAGAGACCAAACTGTAGAGGAGCTCCGTTGCCTCATGTCCTGTCTGGGGCTTCCTGAAAGCATCCTGCTGGCACTGAAGGCAACAGGATACTACAGCTAATGAGCCCATTATCTAGCAGTACTGTTCTTATGATACATTTTTATACGTGGAGGTGCATAAAAGCACACCTCTCTGTTTCCTCCTTGATATCTGATCTACACAGAAACACCGGAATACTGGGAAATCAGGACAAATGAAGATTTCTGCCAGTCAATCTTTTTATATTGCCCTCCTCAGAGACGTGAACACGGAAGAAAATCAACAGTGAATCTGAGGAGACATTCAAGTACCCACGGCTGGCAAAACCCCAGGCCTGTAATCTGTGCTTGGTAGCATTAGTGGAATTGATGTTGTCAGCTTCTGGGAATAGATCCCATTCCCACTCAGTGGGTGACCGCAAGCTGTATTTTTAGTTTAGGAGAAAACCATCAGGATCCATTCCACGACGAATCCAAGAGACGACATGGGAAGGTGGAACAACAGATCAGAAGGATAGCCAGTGGGAGAGTGTGTCAAATATCTAGCTGAAGGAAGCCAGTATTATTTTCAGTAACATGGGGCAGCTAACACTGGCATTAGGGGCCACGTGAAATAAGAATACTAGCTTTGCTGACATCATCTGTTGGTATTCAAGAGCAAAGAGCGATTCCTCCCTGCTCTTTTAAAATAGCCCCCTGTGGCTCAGGACTGAGTTAAGAGGACAGCAACATCCTCTTTGTGTGCAGACTGGCAAAAGAGAAAGTGAGATTTAAGGATAAGAGATATCTTTGGCCCCAGAATATAGATCAACGTAATCTTTTAATTTGGTCATGGCCTGCACTCTCAGAGTGCCTACAGATGCTCAGAATGTCTCCCTTCCCCCCCCCCCGGTGAGTTTTCCTTAAATTTATCATCAGGATATCTGCAGCACATATCACAGAAGTCTGAAAGTGAAAATTATAGTTCCACACCTGCTTAATTTAAATAAGATGATGGCCGTGCACTTCCACTGCTGTGAACACACCAGGTCAGAGGGAAACATAGCATCCACACAAGTCTCATAGGAGCATTGCCTCTCCTGCACTAAAAGTGGTAGGAGTAGCACAAATGAGTGTGCAAATTTGTTAGCATTTGGAAATGCATAATCTGATTCAGGGGATGTTCCAAGCAAGCAATTCAAGGACTGCTTGTTGCAGGAAGGGACAAGGGACCACAAACCAGGCAATTAAGCAGGCAGGAGCCAAGTGTGGCCACTGTGGAAAGAAGAGAGCTGCTGCCTACTCTCTACTGCACATGAGCGCCACCACTGCAAACGGCCATAGGGCAGTATTACAGCTAGATACTCAACAAGGATCAGGTAACACAAGGGGCAAAAAGTGTATAATTTTGTAAAGTGCTGATTTCCCCCGCCTCTTCTGTCTAAGTAACACATTGTCTGTAGACTGAACTGCTTGCAGACTCTCAGCTTAAACCACCTACCTGGCAACAGATTTGATTGCATGACTGCTCCCTGGTCATAAAAATATAGACCCTCCAGGGTCCTCTAGTCCAACCGTCCACAATGCAGGAAATTCACAAGCTCCCCAACTACTCCCCCCCCCGCCACCCAGTGAACCCTGCTCTATGCCCAGAGGAAGGAAAAAACCCTCCAGGATCCGTGAACCAATCTGGCTTGGAGGAAAGTTCCTTCCTGACCCCAAAGTGGTGATCAGCATTACCCTGGACATACAAGAAAGTCAAACACCAGCTCATTCCTTCCTGCCTTCCCTCTCACTATCTGCCTAAAGTCACAGAATCAGCATCGCTGTCTAGCCACTGCTTAAAAACCTCCAGAGGAGAGCCCACCACTTCCCGAGGAAGCCTGTTCCACGGAGGAACTGCTCTAACTGTAAGGAAGCTCTTCCTAATGTTTAGCCGAAGACTCTTTTGCTTTAGTTTCAACCCGTTTGTTCTGGTCTGACCCTCTGGGGCAACAGAAAACAACTTCGCTCCATCCTCTATATGGCAGCCCTTCAAATAATTGAAGATGGCAATCATATCACCTCTTTTTCATCTCCTCTCCAGATCACCTCATTATTACTCAGTGATCTTTTGGCTTCTCCTGTTTCCCCTTCCTTCTTCAAGACTTTGCATATATGAACACAACCCAATAAGCAGACTCTTCATTTTTAACACAGTGTACTGGATCATTAAATCTTAAGGAACTGTGCCACACTTCAAAAAAGCCACAGACACAAAAAACCAAACGATCAAACTCAGATCATTGTTTCATTGCCTTAATCATGCCTTCACATACAGGTGCAAATGTAACAGCGGCAGCTTCAGATCAAGAGCGTCTCCAGGACAAGTTCCCATGAAAGCTCAGGCAAGTATCTTATGACCGAAAAAAGCATTACCTTCCCGTTTTCACTGGCAAGGCCCTGAGTGCCTGTGTTAGCTGTCTCAGGCTCACCAGCGTTAGTGCTCATTAAATCTCCTTTCTTCCTGGGCACGGTCTTGCCACAGAAGCACAATAAAGCAGGACTGAAAGGCTGGCAAGATTTCTTCCAGCTCCCTATTTCTTACCTGGCGGTGTGCAGTTCTCTTTTTCCACCGACGTGTCATTTGATGCCATCAGTCTTCGATTCCTCCATGAGTCTGACACAATGCTTGTGTCGACAATAGTTGACTCTTGTCCTGTAGAAAAGACAGACATGGTGTTTGTACTGGCAAAAACTGCTGCTTATAGGTATTGAGATAAATAGCTATTTTACTAGATAAATGTTAGCACAAACTAAAGCAAAGGCATGCTGCTAAATAAAAGCCAAATATAAGCCATTGCAGACAAAAAAAACCACACCGATTTCATGGGTGCTCAACACAGGGGCTGCAATCAGATGCCCAGTCTAACTATGGGCTTTAAAAAAAAGTGCACAAACATGGTTTGCACCAGGCTCAAATGTTTTCCTGGTACCTTCCTCTTTCCTTCCCACACACCTTTATGGTTCTATTATCTATAATAATAATCCCAGGATATATGAGTACAGGCATACAGCTTAACTGGACGTAAGTATTCCTTAAACCTTGGTTAAGAATCCTGGTGTTTGGTTGTTGTTGGGTTTTTTGGGGGGGGGATGTGCACTTGAATTCCCACATCACAGATAACCAGAGCTGGTCTTAAATCAACATGTGTGAGACAGAAAGTGTGTGACAGAAAGGAGGAACTGGGACGTGCTTGATTTATTTATTTATTTATTTGTTAGATTTTTATCCCACCCTAGGCCAGCTCAGGGCGGCTTACAAACAAAATCACATCAGTTAATATAAATACATGTTAAAACCAAGACATAATAAAGTGCTAATAAAGTGATGCAGATGTGAGTCTGGCACAAGCCATTTTAATTACAAACAATTGGAAAATTAAACATAGATAACAGATACTTGCTTGTCTGCCTGCAGTAATAATCACACACACACCCCAGATCACACAACCTGAGAAGTTTTTCAATAGGTGCAGATTTTCCCAGCCTTTTGAGTCACAAATAACTAACACAAGTACATGTGCAGAAACGGGCTACTAACGTTTGTGGTCTTGTTTGCAATGCTGTTGCACACCACAGAAATCGTGCAAAGAGGACTTTGGTTGGCTTACTTGCAGCATTAGTAGAAGATGGATACTATATAATACTCAAATGATCAGGATGTGTTTTTCCACACTGGAAGTATCTTTAATTACCATCTTCTTACCTTCCTTTATTATGCATCACTATTCAACCTCCAGCCTTTGCATACTATACTCCCCCCATGTTGTCATGCACCTGAGCTGTCAGCTGCAGTCATTCATGCCCAAGTAAACCAGTGATCTCTAAAGTAGCACAGCACACCTTTATGGTTCTATTATCTATAATTGTAATAGGTGTTGACAGCAGCAGAACTGATTCCTCTAACCATAATTGGGTGAGCTGTTCTAATGTCACAGAGCAACCAGAAGTTATCTCTTGATATTATTGGTTGAGCTGCTATGATCTCAGAAAACCCAAGTAAGTCAGAAAGGGAAGGAGGGTTAGAAGGTAGGAAACTAGGAGGCAAGACTCCTACATACACTTACTAGGGAATAAATCGCATTGTGGTCAATGGGATTTACTTCTGAGTATACATACTTAGGATTGCACAGCATGACAACAGCAGGCCATGAAGGTGGCCATGGCTCACTTTGCATGGAGAAAGTGTCAGTTTCAATCTCTGGCATCTCCTATTTAAAAAGGACTGAGCACTAAATGGTGTGAAAGACCTCCAGTCAAAGTAGACATTATTGACTTCGATGGACCAAAAGTCTAATTCAGTACAAGGCAGTTTCATGTGTTCAGACCAAGGAAAGCAAGGGGTCCAGGACAAGAGAAAGCAGCAGACTAGAGGATTATGGGAAGAACTGTAGAAAACACACAGGAGGAATCAGGGAGAGAGGTGAAAACTGGAAAAGAGAATGGGTTGAAAGGAGAAATGCACATGACCAGGAGATGACCTGGAGTGGCAGAGGTCAGGAAGGAAGGCAGGCAGAGGTTCCCACAGTCTAACTGGTTTAAACCAGGGTTTTCTCAACTCATGTCCTCATTCCAGCAAAAACTGTTCGGCTATATCAAAGGGAAATCAGTTCAAGCCATACAGTTCTACAGGCTTTTGTGAGAACAGAAGTGATAATTTCCACATTTGGGGAAAATAACTTGCAAACACGAGCAGACTTGATTGCAAGGAAGACTAAAGACAGGTGCTACATCTTGTAAGTCTGACTAGGGTCAAGGCAGAAAGGAAAATGTCAACAGTGAGCATCCCTCAGGGAAGGAAAATAAGCCTGAAAAGAAGACTACATTGGCGTGTTGAACAACTTGTACAGAGCTTACCGTTTATCTCAATTAACACAAGATGGGTTCCTGTCAAGGACCTGTTTTAAGAGCAGGGCACAGGGTCACATTGAAGGAAACCTTCCTTCTAAAGAAGCCCAGTAAGCTCTTGCATTTTAAATGCTCACAGAAATAGTAGTCATTCAAGTGGAGACAACTGGGCAGAGATCTTCCAAGTGGCATCCTGGATTCATCTATACAGATCTGGCTTCAGCAACACAAGGTAAGGGAAGTAAAGTGTATTGCTGGGTTGGGGCACTATATATTTTTTAAAAATACTAACAGTCTGAAGTGCACAAGGCAAAAAAATATATATTAAATGGAGTCAACTATTGTAATTCAGTATGCGTATTACATATATGCTCAAGCTAGCCCGATCTCATCAGATCTCAGAAGCTAAGCAGGGTTGGCCCTGGTTGGTATTTGGATGGGAGACCACCAAGAAATACAAGGGTTACTAAGCAGAGCCAGGCAATGGCAAAGCCAACGCAGAATGTCTCTTGCCTTGAAAACACCACGGGCTTGCCATAAATCAGATGAGACCTGATGGCAAAAAAAGTTACATATCTATCACAATGAACTCAGCTATCTAGATTCTGTTTACAAGAAACTCTGCAGGAATAATTTCTACTTCTCAAAAGGCAAAAATAGATATGAGAAAGCAAAATCCACATGGATTTTGTAAGACCTGCAGACATTAGCCTAGATTCCTGCTCGGCAGCTGCTGCTCACAGATCTTCCCCACAAAAATCCATGCAGATTTTACATTCCAACAAATGCATTTGTCCACAGGCATTCTTGCCCACAGTTGAAACAGAATAATCCTAGGCACCACAGAATGTTACGTGTGCATAAATGACTGATGCTGATAGATTCTCTCACATGGTTATCAAAATTGTTAGGGCAGTCTCATAACAGCTAGGCTGTACATATACAGTTCAAGATACTCAGATTACTACAAACATCTGAACATGGGACATTTGTACATATCTCCCTTGATATAGGGTACATGAAATAAGTCTCAAAGTGGTTAGGCTGCAAGAAGGAACACAAAAAACATATGGTTATTACAAACATCTGAAAACCTAACATTGTTATATCTGATGGACAAAATTTGAGAAGGGATACCGCTTTAGGGTTGCCAATCTCCAGGTGGTGGCTGGAAATCTCCTGCTATTACAACTGGTCTCCAGGAAACTGAGATCAGTTCCCCTGGAGAAAATGGCCACTTTGGAAGGCAGACGCTATAATACCCCACAGACATCTGTCCTCTCCCCAAACCCCGCCCTAGCTAGGCTCCACCCCTTAAATCTACAGGTATTTCCCAACCCAGAGCGAGCAACCCTAACCACTTAATAGAGGACAGCACTCCAGCACAGAGCAAAGCAAGTCAAATATGGGATTTATCTGTTCTAGTGTGGAAATTCTGTAAGCCACGGAAATTCTCAATCATAAGAACATAAGAACATAAGAGATGCCAATGTTGGATCAGGCCAAAGGCCCATCCAGTCCAACATTCTGTATCACACAGTGGCCAGTAATACCAGGTGCCATCAGGAGGTCCACCAGTGGGGCCAGGACATTAGAAGCCCTCCCACTGTTGACCCCCCCCCCAAGCACCAAGAAGACAGAGCATCACTTGCCCCAGAGTCCCTATCTATACCTTGTGGCTAATAGCCACTGATGGACCTCTGCTCCATATGCTTATTTAATTCCCTTTTGAAGCCGTCCATGCTTGTAGCCGCCACCACTTCCTGTGGCAGTGAATTCCAAGTGTTAAGCACTCTTTGGGTGAAGAAGTACTTCCGTTTATCCGTTCTAACCCGACCGCTCAGCAATTTCATTGAGTGCCCACGAGTTCTTGTATTGTGAGAAAGGGAGAAAAGTACCTCTTTCTCTACCTGCTCTTTCCCATGCATAATCTTATAAACCTCAGTCATGTCACCCCTCAGTCGTCGTTTCTCCAAGCTAAAGAGCCCTAAGCACCTTAACCTTTCCTCATAGGGAAAGTGTTCCAACCCTTTTATCATTCGAGTTGCCCCTTTCTGCACTTTTTCCAAAGCTATAATATCCTTTTTAAGGTGTGGTGACCAGAATTGCACACAGTATTCCAGATGAGGTCGCACCATTGATTTATAGAGGGGCATTATGATATTGGCTGATCTGTTTACAATACCCTTCCTAATAATCCCCAGCATAGCATTGGCCTTCTTTATTGCAGTCACACACTGGACATTTTCAGTGAGTTATCTACTACAACTCCAAGATCTCTCTCTTGATCAGTCTCTGCCAGTTCAGCCTTAAATAGGAAATCAGCCTTAAATAGGAAATTCTGAATCAGCCTTAAATAGGGAGAGAGCAAATTTAAAGCCGTTTAAAGCCGTATGTGGTCTGGGACCAACATACCTTCAGGACTATCTCTCCCGGTATGTCCCTAAGAGCATTACGCTCTTTGGACCAACACCTGCTGGTGATCCCTGGCTCAAAAGAAGTCTGCTTAGCCTCAACCAGAGCCATTTCAGCACCGGCATCAGCCTGGTGGAACATTCTCCCAAGAGACATCTGGGCCCTGCGAGACCTAATGCGGTTTTTCAGGGCCTGCAAAACGGAGATGTTCCACCAGGCCTATGGCTGAGGCGGTGATGACTTATCAGTATTGGCCTCCCACAGCATGTTTCCATCTTATATTGTTTTACTCATCTGTCCCCGCCCCCCGGTTTTATTAGTTACCATCTACTGTGCACAGGTGTGAAATTGATGCAGGAGCAGTGGTATTAATTGGCGCTATAAATGATATCA